TAGGTTGATGTATGTGAGGCATTTTCAGGACTGCTTTGGGTCGATTGTTTCCCAGTGGTAAATCTTAGACTTGTTAATGTTGCATAGTCTGTCAAAAAAAAAAAAAAAAGGAAACAGTGAGCGAACACAAATCTACACACGCTTCAGTATTTAAACACACAAACACAAATATTCAGAAACGAACAAATACACAAAACATCTCGGGGAAAACGAAGTCTGGATTTAATCAGCTTTAATCAGAACACAGGCTCCAGCAGGTGGGATGTGGTTGAGTCTGAATAAAGAATGTTGCCCTGATGGAGAAGTCTTGTGTTTACACTTCATATATTAGTTTGTATCTTGTGTTATCATATATTCCTTAAACTAAGGTATTGAATGTTACTCATGACCTTAACTTAACTTATGAAGCTTCTGTTTCTTCCGTTGCCTCATGAAAACTTAAGTTCTGCTAAACTTCAGCCAAACGCAGCTCGAGCAAAACGACGCAGTGTGATTCAAAGTGAATGAGCTGATGTGAGAGAGGTGACGTTTTCGATGTGAGATATTTGAGGAGCTGATATTCATGAATTGACTGTTTGGTCCCGGTAACGCGCTCTGCTACAAGACCGGACAAGCTTGGCGACAAAACACACACACGGCTATCGAACAGGCTCCGGTACCTTTTTCACAACGTTGAGTTTGTCTGGAGCGTGGTCGAACAGGGTGTCGAAGGCGTCCCGCTCTGAGGAGGATAAATAAAACACGTTATCATTCAACAATAATAAGTGGACGTGATCATTTGTGAAAGCCAGAAGCAGAAATGGAAAAAAGAAGCACGTCCTACCGTGTCTGCCAGAGAAGGCCCTTTGACAAAAGAGGAGACAAAAAAAAAAACACACACACGTCAGAGGTCGTTTCTCCTTATTGACAATTTCACACTTATTATTTGAGAGAACCAGACGAGTGGATCACAGAGGAATGCAGAGAATGGCTGGATCATGTCACAGCAGTGAAAACACAATGCTGCAGCTCGGGTATCATCATAATTTGATTAACAGTAAACACGTCGGGTATTCAAATAACCTGGGACGTTCACAATGACCACACACCGCAACACAATGCAACAATCTCCACAGCACCACAATGCAGCTGCGTGTTAACACAATGAGCGTCCATTATGACGATGTGGCGGGATGATGTTGTTGGACGGGGTCAGGTGGGTTCTGGAGCGTCGGGGGGGGGGAGGGGGGAGGGGCAGTGTGAGCGTCCCAGAGGAAGCGATATCGCAGCGGGCAGGCCAGCAAGAAATGGCAGCAACAAACACACACACACACACATATATATACAAACACACAAACACACACCAGAGGCACTCACACATGTTCATGGTGTAATCTGTGATGGCAAAGGCAGGCAGGTCTGGGCACCGCTCCGGTTTGTGTGGTAATAACCGTGTTTCCACTGTGACCATGAGAGTGTGTTCGAGCCTCTGTGTGTGTGTGTGTGTGTGTGTTATTAACTGTATCCATCTACCATGACAAATTGTGTGTGTGTGTGTGTGTGTGTGTGTGTGTGTGTGTGTTGGCCTGCCGTTATCTCCCTGGTTGCTGCTGTCAGGCTGCAGGAGAGCCTCACAGCCAGTGTGCGTGAGAACGTGTGCATGTGATGTAAATGTCCTGATTCTTCAGCCGAAGGAGTGAAACCACATCTCTGGTAGAAACAATGATTTTAAAATCAACAGCAGCTCCTGAAGAAAGATGAAGACGTTTGAAGAACCTCAACACTTCTGTGGCATTTAATCCAAATGTGAATAATCCGAATGAAACTTTTACAACCAGTAATATTAGAAACACAATCTTTATCTTATTGAGATTATCTTTAATCATCATGTGGTATAAATAAAGAATTATTCACTTTATATACCCCATTATTTGTATATTATATGTATATATATATATATATATATCATGTGTACATACAGTGTGTACATGTTGTATATCACCTCATTCAGATTGTTTCTAATTTAAACTGTAATTTTCCCTTTGTATAGCTGTTTATTTACGTTCTCTATCCAAAGTATCATAAAAACTATCATTTTAAAATGAGTATAATACTGCGGCGAGTACTTCGAAGAGAATAAATAAAGAATTATGAAGTTTGTCCAGATCCAAATCCTCAAAACTGACGAATTAGTTTTGCTAAAATGATTCTTTCGCTTCTTTAGTGAGATGAAAGTGAAGGAGTGGAACCCTGACGCCAGACAGGAAGATGTTTGTACTCGAGTCGATACACAAATGATCCAAATGATGCTTCCTCAGAAATCAAGGAAACTCTCTGAACTTTGAAAAAATGAATTGTTGTCCAGAGCTTCAGTGTCGACGAGTCACAGGACAAACTTTTTTAAAACCTGTCAACAGAAAAGCTGAAATGTTCTCACTCTGTGTTTCCGGTGATCTCCTCCTGAATCTGTCTGGACTGAAGGATTCCCTCTCGCTTCTGAAAGACGAAGAAAGAGAAACAGAAGGTCGAAGCTGAATTTTTACAGACGTGGAGATGAAGACGACAACTCGGAACCAAACTAAACGGTGCAAACGACGTCACGCCCACCTGAACGACCACCACTTGGATAGAAACGTGGTCGGGCAATCTGATTGGTGCTCTGAAGTGTTGTGACAGCGCCACCAGCAGGTGCAGAATGGCAACTATGCTCTTAGCATGAACCGCTAGCGTGGATGAAAGAGAGAAAGACATAAGAGAATGAACAATAACAGAGATGAAAGCAGGTTTGTATTGATTATTGATGAGCCGACCGATGAAACACAGACGTGAGGATCTGTATTAATGTTCGCTGATATGAAAACATATTTTATTTAACTGTCACTGTTCTGAACGTGCTCACGCTGGTTCCTGTTATTTTTACTTGTTGATTTCAGGAAATAAAAAATAAAACTGTTTCCAAACAATCACCTTCCTCAAGTTAAATACTGAATAAAAACAAACACGTCTCAGTATTTCAGACGGAGACGACATCGTCTGCATCATAAGTTCCTCCCGTACTTTTATTTATTAAACATTTTTATTCTCTATATGTTTTATATATTTTTCTTTTTCATGAAGAGTCTACAAGCCACATATTTTCTATTCACAATTCATATATTCTATTTCTCAGGGATTTAGAATTAAACGTTTTTACAAAGCAAGGTCACGTAGCAAGACGGCACAAGTTGCCCTGAAGAGACATGAAAAAAAAAGAAGAAGCTTTCATACGAGAAAAGAACCGTAAAGATTCACACACTGAGCGACACGACTGAACAAACAGGATTAACCTTCGGATGCAAACACATCAAACGGGATCAATTAAGTGTCTAAAGCGAGCCTTTGATTGTATCCAGGAAATAACGGAGCGCACACACGCCAACGGGCCTTTTATGAAACCTGTCGGATTAGAATAAGTTACCTCAGGGAACGAGCGCGTGAATGGAGGATGAAAGTAGCGACAAACAAAAGTGAATTGATTAAAAGAGGAGCGGGAAAGCAGAATCAATGACATTCCACGTTTATTCACGGCTCTTTAACATTTCTCTTTAAAGACATCTGGCACAAACAGCTTTTCATGGACGAACTCCTGTGAGAGCTGCAAGAACGTCTGAAGGCTGACGACTGATTAAAGCTCCGACAAACTGCGAGCGGGTCGTTTACTTCTTTACGTCCTGTTTTCACGAGCTGGAGATAACTTTTAATGTACATTACTTCAGAATACCTGTTCAAATGAATCTTTCTCTCTCCTACACAGAGTCCTCTATTTCATTTCTTTCTAAACGCTTCTTTTTGTTATGTGAAGGAATTTTAATTTCTGTGTGAAACTAGAAAACATGTATTACAGATGTTCCTTACAGTCGACGTTCCAGCGAATGTTTCTGGTGGAGAGTTTGAGCGAGTCGTTGATTCGCTCTAAAACCGTCTGCAGCTTCTGTTTCTGGGCGATCTCCGACTGGGTCACCTCCGCCACGTTCAGTTTCTCACCTTCCAGCTTCTCTGAAACACGAGGACGAAGAAGAGACACTCGCATTAATGTCAATAAAACTCTTTTTGATCGTGACCATGACGGAAGCTCGTCTCGGTTTCTCACCGAACAGTTTCTGCAGAACCTGCCCGTCGTACAGATCCTCAGCCAGATCCTTCACGATGATCCTCTCTCCCACCAGGACATCGTTTATCCAGTCGATCAACACCTGACGTGAGCGCAACAAGAAACAGACGACTTAATAATTCAACGTGAAGCGGTCGTGCATGAATCATAAACAGGAGCCTGATGATAGAAGAGTTTTATTTACCCTCTGAATCCGAGAGCGAACACTGACTCGTACTTTTACTGGTTAGAGGAAAATAAACTTTACCTTCATGAGCTCCTGCAGCTTTCGGTCGTTCTTGGAGTTGGGGTCGACCATCGTGCGAACTTCATTCTCCTCTGCAGGAGCACGAACAGGATCAATGAGAAGAAAAGAAAACGTTAATCTCAAACCAAATGTTCTGAGTGAAACAACCAGATATTCGCTCAGACTTTGAAAAGTCAACTTTGTTCTGATTTGTACAAACAGCTGGAATCTGTATCTTCACACTTTTTACATATGGATTCATTTATACGTGTACAAACATATTTATCCTTTAGAAAGTGTTCGTCTTCACTTTGTGTATCTGTCTGTGTCTCACCTGTTCCGTCTCTTCTCAGTTAATATAAACAAAACTTAATAAAAACAAAAGTAACTAAATCTCATTGATTGGAAACGTCTCAAATCCGTCCGTTCATGTTTCAGCCTGAATCTGATCCAGAATAAAGAGAGAGGACGACAGACACATCCATTCAACACATTAGCTGCTCTTTGAGCCACAGCGGATAAACGTTTATTTCCCTGATAAAAAAAAAGAAGATGTTTCAGTGTGTTTCAGTGCTTTTACCCAACATGGTGTCTTCAGGGTCCAGCTCATAGTGTGAAGGGCTGAGCGGAAGGTTGATGGCATTTATTCCTTCCTCCTGAAGCTCAGACACTACGACAAACAAGAAGCAGAGTTTCCATCTCGTCACATAAACATCTGAAACTTTCACCTTCTTCTGTTTAAAAAAACCACACAGCTGCTGTGATTCTATATTTTCAACGTGTCTCAGTATTTTCTGACGTTCGTACTAATTAACTTTTAACTCGTTCTTTTCCTGCTGAAGGAGTAAATCATAATTAACTAATTTAAAACACACAAAAACTGCTGATATGAAAAAGATGTGATTCATTTTCTTAATTCCAGTTCTATATATTTGGTTGTGTCTCTGATTATTTATAGTTCATTATAATAAAGTTTGTGGTTGAACTTTAATATGTACAACCTCAGTGACATTTCTTTTACATAAGGGTTTGATAAAATCTGAGGAATCTTCACCAAAATATTATTTTTCTTCTGAAAGTCCAAATCGATCAAGCGCCATGGTTCAAATTCAATATTGCAGTAATTAAGAAGAATCGATCATTAAATTTATTTTTTCATTGATCAATGAATGAATTGATCTTGTTACCAGCAGCTCAAACATCAGTGTGACTTCAGACATCACAGACTTTAAACATCACAGACTTCAAACATCACAGACTTTAAATGTAGGAAGATTAAACAGCAGCAAATCTCCAACTTCAGAATCTGAACATGTGAATGTTTTAGTTTTTTAATATATAACTAAAAGGATTCACTCATTCTCCAAACTGGAAACAATAACACACACACAAGTTGACGAAGCTTCGTTTGAACGTTGGCTTCATGTCGTTCCTTCCTGTGAAATGACCAGATCAGATCAGCCGAGACAGAAACACAACAGCCACGAACAGACGTCACACAGGACACGACTGGTGTTGCCTCCTGGTGCTCAGCGGGATTTACAGACGCCCAGCGGGTCGTTGTTCTCAGCGTGTCAGACACATGAGGAGACTGCTGTGTGTGAGTCTGTGTGTGTGTGTCTGTGTGTGTGTGTCTGTCTGTGTGAGTCTGTCTGTGTGAGTCTGTTTGTGTGTGTGTGTGTGTCTGTCTGTGTGTGTGTGTGTTGAGAGCACGGAGTGAACATCCTGTGCATTTCTCTGCCTTCACTGGAACGACATCCTCTTAATCAACACCATCCACATGTGTGTACACACACACACACACACACACACACACACACACACACACACACACACACACACACACACACACACACACACAGTATGAGAATATTCCGACAGAGTGACACATACCTCCCTCTCTTCATTGTGTAAATTATCACCCGCTCATCCAACAGAAGCACGTTGTTACTAAAGACCGAGACAGTTTCAGTGAGGACGGAGCTTAAAGTCAATAATTCATGTGTGTGTGTGTGTGTGTGTGTGTGTTGAAGAGTTTTTTTTGTTGACAAACCTTCAACTAAACTATTTTACAAGGTCCCACAATCATTGTGTTTTTTTTCTAATTTCATTTTATCATGTTACACATTATTTACTCCTTCAACATATTTTATTTAGTAAAATATCTTTTGTTCTGATCTTTGACCTCTTTTAAAACTGTTTTCATAAACACGTTAATGTGAAATGAGAACTACGAGTGAAAACATGATGAAGCTACCTTTACTTTTTAAAAATTCATTACGCCTTTTATTGTGTTTTAATTCTTTTTAAACACTTAGAACTCGATTAAAGTTAAATTAAACTTTATGAAACGATTGAGCTCCACAATGTGTTTCAGAAATATCCGGAACGACATGAATAAACATGAAACTCGTATGTTACATGTGAAATAAAACACACGTCAACAAATCCAGGAAACATGATGGAAGAAAGGTTTTTTTTCCTCATCACACCTCAGATTTAAAATAAACTCAAACAGCAGCGTTGAACACATGATCATCATCATCTTCATCATCTTCATCATCTTCATCTTCAGGTCATGTGAAATCACGTGTGAACAAAATACTTAACGTTCAACCTTTAAAAGCTTCTGTCACAGCTGGAGTTGCAGGAACTCCTGTGGGGCTGCAGCTGCTTCAGAAGAACTCCAGACCAATTAACACGACCGGGGTTTTACTGTAACCATCACTTGTGCTATTTGAGGATGAGGAACACGTGGAGACCAGAGTGTCGGAGATATCAGAGGAAGCATGAGGGGAGATCTGACGCGACTTTGCAACAATCCCACTGTGAAAATTCACCTGTTCACACGTTAGGACGCTGAGAGCAGATCTGATTTACGACTGAAAAGAAATCACAAGCGTCCCCCCCCCTGCCTCCCCCCCCTCCGCCTCCCTCCCCACCGTGCCATAAAACTACAATACGCCATCACTCGGTTAAAAAACGTGCGGCAATAAAAACCGCCACGTCGTTCGGGAACATGCTGATGCTGGGTCCTACCTGGAGGGCAGAGCGCTCCACAGCCCATGCTCCTCTGTCTCCGTCCCCCAGACTCAAGCATCGTCTCCCGGCCAGCGGCACCAGCTTCTCCCCCTGCAGCTCATCCTGAGCTCCTCTTTATATTGCTATCGTCTCTGGCAGGATATTTTATAATTACGACGATATATATTACCTGCTGATTTCTGTTTGCATTACATCCTCACCCTCTTTCTCCCTCTTTTCTTTTTTATCATTCACTCTCTCTCTCTCTCTCCAGTAATATGTGACGGCCATGGACGTCACAAGGAGTTAAATTTAATCAATGATCAAGTGAAGAGGGACCGGCCCCGAGTTTTCCATCAAATCACAGAACACACTGCAGACATCCTCCATGCTGCACTCCCTGTGTGTGTGTGTGTGTGTGTGTGTGTGTGTGCGTGCACGAGCCTGTAATGCGATTGCGTGCGTGTCCCGCGGACAAAGACGACATAAACCGGGGCTCAGCTGTGCAGCAGCGTCCTGAACGACACAAAGTAATCATCCAATCGAGAGAGACCTTTCTCATCCCACGATAAAACGTGGCCTTTAACAGCGAGCGAGTTTCCAGAGCGACGCAGCTTTTAAAACAAACAACAGGATTCTTATTTACGACACATTAAAGTTAAAGTCCGACACAGAGATTTATAAACATCACGGAGGACGGAACACTGAGCTGAACGTTTCACATCCAGAGCTGCCGTTTTGGATCCGACCTCTGACCTTTGCTCTCAAACAATTATTCACAGCTCGACAGTAAGATTCTAGATTTTAATTTTGGCAAAACAGTTTGGATTATACATCATCACTTAAATGTACATGTTTGTGTCGCTTCCTTTTTCTTACAGGGAGGAAGATTTGGCCTCGATCATCGTCACAGTGTTCAACTTATGAAACTGTTGATTAACGGTTTGTATAGTAGATTTATGCTACTAGGCTAATTTAGAATGCTAGCATGTTAGGATGCTAGTTATTTTATTTAGGATGCTAGTATCTTAGGATGCTAGTTATTTTATTTAGGATGCTAGTTATTTTATTTAGGATGCTAGTATCTTAGGATGCTAGTTATTTTATTTAGGATGCTAGCATGTTAGGATGCTAGTTATTTTATTTAGGATGCTAGTTATTTTATTTAAGATGGTAGTATCTTAGGATGCTAGTTATTGTGACAACCCGTCTTTCGGAGAGGTAACGTGCCAACAATCTGATCTGATGCTGAAGTATCGAGCTTCAACTGAAGCTAACTGTAACTGTTCACGTGTTAAAAACCAAAGAAGATCGTAACTTTCTCGTCACGTTCGACTTCAGCTCTGTAACAATGTGTCCGAGCGTCACACACGTTCTCCTCCTGATTTATAGAAACTGTAGAAATTCACCGCTGGTGCGATGGAAGCACGACCACAAAGAAACCGAGTGTCCGGAGAGAACGAGAACACAACTCCACATATTTACCCTGACCTCTGACCTCTGACCCCTGACCCCTGCATCCGCTCCCACCACAACACAACACAACATCACAACAACACAACAACACAACTCTGAGTGAAGCTGTGGTGGAGCCATCATCACCCCCCCACTCTGCTCACT